CGCGCCGACAGTTTGTCGACCATTTCCGCACATTTCAATGTGGCATGCAACGCTTCATTTGACCGTTAATTCACTGCCAATAAAGTGGCAATTGCTCAGGTCATTTAGAGCGGGAATAACGCAAACAAAAACAATGCTGCCAAAACGCTTTTATTGTTGACGATCATAGGCCAATTCACAAAGCAATAAATTTTGATTGCGCAGTCCAGGGCGGTCAAACGGCGGAGAGTAGAGTGCGCGAGCAAACTTTTGCAACTGCAACTGCGGTTGCGGTTATCAAGCGTGACCGCTCGCTGACCACCGACGCGCTGAAAGGATAGGCAGAACAACAAACACACACACACACACATACTTGCATACACCCGATTATGTTTGGCTGGCGTTTGCAGTGCCTTCATCCAGTTTTGGTGCTCGAAACTGTTATTTTGACTACGGTGTGCGCTGCACAACGCGTTGACGTTACATAACCTCACAATTTATTATATTTATTAAATTTATTACCATAATTAATGCTTATTTGGCGGCGGATGGGCTGTGACCAGCACATAACTGTATCATTGCAACATTATGGCGTACAGTGTGGTTGCATGTGACCATTTGTTGGTGCTTTGAAGCCGTTATTTTTATAGAGATGTGCTACATAACTACCGTTATACTTTTCCTACCGCGGTATGATACATTGCTGTCGTAGATTTATACTGTTATCCCTTTATCGCTGCCAAAAGTTGTTTACTGCAATGGCATCGGCGGCAGCAGCTGCAATAATTGGCCTTGTCGCTGCTCGGTTATTGGCTGTGTTTTATTGATTTTGGCTCGTGTGGCGATTTATTTGGGTTGTTACACAAACATTTAAGCACTGTTGCACATAAAGGCACGCACTTCAAAGTATATTTTGAACGCCAGAGTGCTGTTTCCCTATAAATGATTATTATAACTATTTTAACAATCTATGTTGCTACAATAACAAATAAGTGTTTTGACTGCCTGTTGCGTATGACAAAATTTTTATTGCTATTTGAAAACCTTTATTTGAAATTTTGTAGCATTCATCTATGCTAATTTGGCAGCAATTAATTAAAATTTTAATTAGCTTGTTATTCGCTATTAAATGTGAGTAAATTATGCTGGTTTTGAGTGTTTACTTATATTGAAAACAGTCGGAAAATCTAAATTTATTTCATATTTGGCAATTTAATTAAGTGTTTATATCCACTTGTGAATTTCAAAATACCCTTCTTTGTGCCTATATAGACATGTATGTATATCAAATGTTCATCTATTTGTGGATCCGGAAAATTGTTTCAGCGTATTTGTAATAATTTTCTTAACATCACTTTTCATAAGTTAACAGGCGAAGGAAACTATAATAGAAACCACCTATATTCAAAGAAAATTTGAGTTAAAAAATGATTAAATATTGCTTGGCCAATTGGAAGGAATTCACCACACCTTCGTAATAGAAAAAACTGTCAACATTATTTGATTTTTGTCATGATTTGACGTCATTTTTGCGGGTTCGGCACACCTTTGCCACGTCATTCGGCCGATTGATCTCTGTTTTCGGTTCGTAGGCATACATTCAAGAATCCTCGCCAGTAATAATACGTCCGGATAGTCAGAAAGCATTGTTTCACAGGCGTTAACTTAAAATTATCAAGCAGTGAAATTTTTCAAACCGCCAAACATCCTTGTTTCGTGGTCTTCCTGGAGATCGGCTCCGGCAGCAAGGATTTTTTGAAAACGAATCGCCGTTTTTTACTTATTAAATGAAATGCTTTTGAAAACTCACAAAAAACTCGTTTTCTCTGACTTGGCATGTGGATATAAACCTTTACGTAATTTACATTGAATAATTGATAAAAAAAACAAAAATAAATTAAAATAATAAAACATTTTAGTTTCTCATAAATTCGTACACTGAAATCATGCATTTTGATTACAAAAGACAAATTTTTCTAAGAAATTGTATGAGAGCACATTTCCGGTACCTTTTCTTTAGTGTTTGAAAGTGAATTGTTTAAATAATAGAAAATCTTGCATACTCTAAGGCGCTATGTTGTAGCTAACTTCTTTTAGTGTGGATCATAGATGAATTGACTTTAAGCGTTGCATAGTTTTTGGCGTGAGCGGTATCTAATAAGATCAGTTTGATCATATAGAAATGAAATTGGCTCTCTGCAACTCATTGCTATTCAAACTGCATGAAATGAAGGCAAGTAAGCAGAGAACTCACAACGCTCTCTGGTCATACTAACATATAAAGTGTGTTCCAATTCGAGGTTACCTACTTTTTAAAGAAAAAATAGGAACTTCACTTTTTCAAATGAAGGCCAAAAGACCAGACTATCTGGTTGAAATCAAATGTCGCCAAGATCACAAGCTCCAACTTTAAGCTTCAAAAAGATGGTTATCATGGTGCAAAACGGCTGCCACTGACGATTGAGTTCTCACCGGCATCATTTTTGAAAAAATATGGACCGATGATTTCACCTTCCCACAATGTACACAAAACCGTTGTTTTTTCTTGACAAAATGGCAGCTCTTGAATCTCTTCAGGTTGTTTTTCGTCACAAATGTGACAATTTTGCTTGTTTACATATCCATTGAACCAGAAATGAGCCTTATCGCAGAAAAAAAATTTACTCGAAAACGTCGGATCTTCTTGGATTCACGACTCACGCGTGATTTGCCAAAAAATTCTATTCAAAATGGTCTACTCTACTTGGAGCACCTTTTATAATAATATATATTTACATTCCAGATTTGATTTTGCTTTGCTTTATAAAATATCTTTCAATAATTTCTGGCTTGTTTCCGCTAATTTACAACTTAGTAAATAATGGCTCTTTATTGTCACAATGAAGTTAATGTCAACGGTACCTCTTAAAAATTTGAAGGACATAAGTACAAGCACTTAAATGAAGAACTTCTAAGCAGAGGCTTCTACAGTTAAAACGCTGTGTTTCGCAGTACAAAACTCTCAAACCACTTAAGAGAGTAATGCTCGATAAGTGGTACTCAATTAACCGCGAGAGGGTTGAACTTAAAAACGAAAAAATATCAGAAATGTTATCAGCAAGCACTGAAAATAAATGATTACAAGAATTCTTAATAGGAGGTAAATCATTAACAAGCCATAGGTCAATACTTATGAGGAGACACTTAGCCGTTTAAGTGTTCCCGAGCGCTTGCGAAAGACATCGAATATTATTTGCGTAATCGAAAGTAAGTCATCTATGAGGAAATGTAATGCTATCGATGCTACTGTGCAATCTTCAGCAAAAAAAAAAAAAAAAAAAAAAAAAAAAAAAAAAAAAAAAAAAAAAAAAAAAAAAAAAAAAAAAAAAAAAAAAAAAAAAAAATTAAACAGAGTTTGTAAAAATTCATATTTTCTGTAAACTTGTTTTTAATTCTTTATCGCTTATATTACCTCTAATGACCTACGGTTCAAAATCATCCACATATCCCTAAATTATAATGAAAACATCTGAAGTTTTCTCGAATAAAAGATGGATACAAGCACTTGCCATTATTTACAAGAGCTAAAGTGCTTTTCCGGAAAGTCATAGTAGGGCATTCTTCGGAATAGCCTTGAGAACGGAAGTGCAAGCTGCTTGGATCTCCTCTGTCGTCTCAATATACTTGCCTTTCATCGGCCTTTTTATGCAAGAAAAACAAAAGTACGAGGGGCCACATCTAGGGTGAAGAGCTTCTGGCCTTGGTTAGGTGGTTGTACTCAAGAAAGGCAGTGTGAGTCGGGGCGTTGTCGTCGTGGTGCAATTTCCAATCGGCTGCGTCGGACCCGATTGACCCTTCGTTCAAGAGACTTACTTGAGGACTTTCATGTATAAATTGGCGTTGACGATTTGTCCAGGAGAAATAAAGAAAATTTCATCCTTTTCACTTTGGATTTGCTCATTCTTCCATTTTTTGGGTGAGGAGACGCCGGCGTTTGCCACTCGGAAGATAGCCTCTTTGTTGCGGGATCGTACTCAAAGATCCATGACTTGTCACCTGTAATTGCGTTATTCAAAAATTGTGGTCATTTTCACATATGTTCAAATCTTCTGCTCYAACGAAAGCTGCATTTTCGGCTTRTTCAAAAATGTTTGTCCTAGATTACCAGGTGCTCGGAGACAACTGACCAGCTGCTCGTCCGTTAGATCGGAAGGCCCTCTACCGAATCCGATCGATGCGCGCACGTTTCGAAGTACAGTCGCTGGGGGAAAAAATCAATTCTATTACTTTCCGGACCAACTCTGTATATTCCGCATGTAATAATCACTGCTTAATATTCCTACTATTAGTAATCTATCTTCTCTAGCTCTGTTGTCCAAGCCGGTTTGCCGAACCTATGAAGCTCTGAGAATACGCTTAGGCAATCAATACTCAGAAATAGTTAGTTTCGGACACCAGGTTGCCTACCCAAAGCCAACTTCAAGTTGCATATAAAAATATTTAAATTAAAAAATTTCAACACAGCTGAGACATGGCATAACAATGTTGAATGATTATGAAAAAATCGTAAGAGAAACTCTTTGAAACCAATAAAGAAGTGTACCATATAATAACACCTCATGTGCTTGAGAAAAGTTCTCACAAATCCAAAAGCAGGATACACACAGAACAGGAAACAAGTTTTGACCATGTATTGCGATCCTACTATCACTTCGATATATGGGTGATGTTGAGTTTTATAGCTGATATTCAAGAACTTTGTTCTCAGAAAAATATTTAGACATTTCTAGAATTATGTAAAGGGTATCTTAAGTTCTATATATGATCTTCAAGAACTTTGTTTTCAGAAACAAATTTCGACTSTTCTAGAACTATGTGCAGATTATGCCAAGTTCTAAAGCTGATCTTCAAGAACTTAATTTTAAAACACTCAACCATTATCGATTATGTAATATATATATTTAATTTTTTTACAATTTCTTTTCAAACCACATTTGCTTTAAAACTTTATACCGCTTTTTAATATGAATATAAGCTTAACTTTTGTATTTATCTTTAAATTTATTAACATTTCCATTTCTACTTATAAATTTAATAACACGAACGCTTAAATCTACTTAATAAAATTCGTTGCTCTTTAACTYCGCATTACTTCCAACACAAGCTCTCCTCGCGTACTATATTACACAAAAGCTTAAATTTCTATTTACATTACAMACGCCTATCCGCGATACCACGTAATAATTGCGACCATACAGCGCACTAACAACGCTAAATAGCTCAAGCTGCTCTTCGCCGCCACGCCGTCGCCATTTCATTGCTCCAAATTGAGTCTCTTAGAATTCATTCGCTTCGCACTGCCAATCTTGCAATAAACCCAAAATTTGCAACGACTCATACGTATCGAAGTCATCAGCGTAACGTAAGGATCGCAAGGTCTGCTTGCTAACATCGAACGCCTCGCTGGCAGTCCACTTGGCGCTGACGCCGTACGCCTTGCTGCCTTTGCACTCGTACTCGCGCGGCAATGCCAAAGTCAACGGTAATTGTTCCGCCATAACGGAATGATGCGTGACCAATGCCTTTAACGATGTAAATTGCTTCTTGGCGCCTTTCAGCTTGTAATGGTTGTCCGCCAGCGACACGACGACGAAGTGCTTCACCTTCGTTTCGACGCGCAGACACAGCTCGTAGCTGCGTGATTTGCGGCGTAGCAGGAAGGTGCCGGGCGGCGCCTGTTGCAGGCGCTCAAGCGCGGCTTTGGTGGTGATGCGCGGTTGATACCAACTGCTGGCGAGCAGCTCGGCCTCCTCACTGCCATCGTCGGAGTTGCGGTTGTAGCGGAACTTTTGCTTTGGTTTTTGTTGTAGCTTTTGTTGTTGTTTCAGCTGTCGTTTGCGTTGTTTAGTCGGACTCGATTTTTCGCTTATCAACTGACAGCAATCGGAGATGCCAGCATCCGAATCTTCGGCGACATGTTGATAATCAGCATCCTCGACGCCCCATTCGCACTGCACATCCTCATCCTCTTCCGGTTCTGTGGTGGAATCTGTGTACTGTGTAATGTTTTGCCAGCAGTTCAGCGAGAGCATCGATTTTTGCGGACTAATCGATTTTTGTGGTGTGCAGCCGTGTTTTTGTTGTTGTTCAGTGCATGCGAATTGTTGTTGTGGCGGCGTTTCCTCGACGTCACTCTCTAATGGGCAAGTGCACTGGCTGCTGCAATCACTGGCGTCCTCCTCATCGGCGTTGTATGAGGAATCCAACATGTCAACCTGCATTAGTGGAGAGGGCGGGAGAGAGGAGGAAAGAAATGTCGTGAGTAAGCTATAAAAAGATTAGAAATCCGAAAATGTTGCAGCTTTGCTTAGTGCGCTGCAAGCCAACTCACCTCATCATAATCACTGGTGACATCCTCCTCGGTGTCGCTTTTGCAAAGTGTTGCCGCCATCTGCGCGCCTCCCTGTTGTTCTCGTGTTCGCTGTTGATGCTGCTGTTGTTGTTGTCCATGTCGTTGCTGAAAGAGTTTCCGCCGCAAAAAGTCCTTCATGCAATCGTACACTTTTGGTCTTTTGCCGGCACTAACGAGCAACTCGCGATCCCCGCCCGCAGCACCCCAGCAAGGCTGTTGTTGCAGCTCACCATGCGGCTGCTGCAAGTCGGACGCGTTGCCCACCAGCGTCAGCCGACTGTAGTAGCCCGAAGTGTTGGTGGTGGTGCTGTAGGAGCAGGAGTGCGAGCACGAATTGGATTTTTGTGATGATGAAGACGTTGACAAGTGAGTGACACAGTCAGCATTTGTTGCAACCGGCATTGTTGCCATTGTTGTTGCGTGTTTTTCTGTTGCCAACACAGGCATTGTGTTGCTGCTGTTGTTGTTGTTGTTGTTGTTGGTGGTGGTGGTGGTTGGCAGAAACTTGCTGCTCCATTGTTGATATTTGCGCAAGGCCAAGTCTAGGCTGCGACTTGTCATCGTTGTTGGCATCGTTGTTGCTGTTGTTGTTGCCACTGTAGGCGTTTCTGCTACTTCCATGCTGGCGGTGCAAGCGTAAGCCGGATATAATTCAGCGTACGCTGGACAATTTGCGCCAAATTGCTGTTGTGGCTGAAAGCATGCGAGAAAAAAGAGAAAAGTGGTACCGTTAAAATTTTCCATTGGTTGCAAACTTTTGTAGTATTTTTGTGTTACAAACATTTCTTTTAATGGGTTTCGCATTTGTTGTAGTTGTGGGCAATGCACCGAAATCGCGCAGAAAATTACCAATTAGTGGGAAATTTTCTTGAAGTGCTTGCCAAAAGTGCTGAGCGTAGCGTTTGAAGAGATTAAGTGATGCCTTAAAGTGGTTTAAATTCGAAGATTAAGTTGAGGTTTGGCGAAAATTGTTCAATAAAATATTGCTTTAATATGCAGGGTTGTATTTTTCACTTAAGATGGTGACTTAGATATAAACATTTTCTGAACAGTTATTTTAGATTACAATAATTCTTAAAAAATCAAAGTTTGTATAATGAGAATTCGTGAAGGCTTAAAAAGGATATTCTATTACTGATATTTAGAATATTTTTTGGAATTAGTGATATTTATAGTTGAGAACTAAACCATTTTAGCCAAATTCGTGTCATTTAGCAAGGGCATAAACCTTTGATTACATTCATGCATAGCGACTGTTACATGGTGAGAGGACTATAGTTTCGGTTTGTGATAGAACAGCTGATTGAGCTGATTCGTGTTAAATACGAACTGGTTAGAACTTTTAGAAAAATTATACAGAGTACGTTTATGGAAGACTTCTAAGAAATCTAATCAAAAATTACAGTTTTACAAATTCACTCACTTTTGTGGCGACTGTTATTGCCTACAAAAGAATCCGTCGAGGGAATGCTCTTGTCATATCAGCCTATTCTTTTATCCTGTTCACCTCAACTGTTCACTTTAAACTGCTTTCAGAAATTGCTTAACTATATATTCATCATAAAATAACAAATAATTTGGTACATGCTCATTCCCTCAAAGATTTGCGTGTTCTGAACAGAAAGATGATATAAATTTGTATTTTTTCACAGGATATATTGTTTCACAACAATTTCTCTATGTCATGCATGACTTGGAAGAAATGGTACTTATATTTATTGTACGTGTGTTCTTCAATGATAAATTGTCGCAAATATCCATATATATATACATACATATATACGAAGTTGGTATTCGGATATGTACCTGCACTTTGACAATTGTCTCATGGCGAAAAAATCGGTTACGAAAAATTCGCAGGATTGACAATGGGTGCTCAAAGGAAGAAAACTACCGCCGCTCGGTCATCAAAGCAAGCAAAACCTACTTTTCTTCGTAGAAGAAAACCCACAGTAGTGTTCACAGGAAATTCCAGTTTGAAGTACGTGTCAATATCTGTTGGTATGCCTATTCAATACCTTTGCTTTCACACAAGAGCCGAGTTGTGTCAACAAGCCCCGCTGAGTCTGCTAAGTATCCGTGTTTCAGCCTAACACTAACCGATCACGCCTAACTACTTTTTCGCATTGAAAGCAGTAAATTTATTGGCATTATAAAGAAAGCGGTAACTAACCGATATGCCACCGTGGTAACTTCTTGGAAAGAGATGAAATTAATTGTGTGTGAATGGGTCACATACATATCTCTTATAATGAACGCCTAGAATGATCATTCGCTGAAGAATTGAAGAGAATATTTTACGTTTTTTTTCTGATTAATTTTTAGGTAAATTTTGACCAATATAAGGCGGTTTTCCTATTCCTAACCTCAGATCGCCAGTTGATTTTTTTGTCTTTCATTTTTGTGATTTTATTTTTTTGCTCAGAATGGATTTCATCCTACAATTTTATTTTATTTTTACTTTCAAAAGAACWTTTCAGTTTAAAGGCATCGAAATGTAAAATTTTTGTTTGAATTTTTCAATTTAAATTCCCCCTGAATGTAGGCAGCAGTAAATCGTGGCCTACATTTAGGATACAATTAGAAAAGCGCACACCTCACCAAAAATGCTGACGTTAAAACACCTGAAATGCATACTTCTGGGGCTTTAAAAAAAAATCGTTCGATTCATATTCATAAAAACATATATGTATATTTCCCTTTTTTCTTCACCACCTTCATCAAACTGAGTATGAAACAACAGTGTTGGCACTAAAGGATAATCATATAGATATAGTGACGCCAAAACGTTTGACATGCGAACTATAAACACCCACCACTACATTCCCAAATAACTGCTTATAAGTATGTGTGTCACATGTTTGCATTATGACTTTGCTTTATGTTCGCATATGTTGCACATTGCCTTATTTACTTTAGGTCACTACAAACAAAAAAGGATAACAGCATTTTTTTTCGAACAAAAAAATACTGTTAACGTTCTTTAGTGCACAGCAACTTAATATGTGTTGGGGGAAAAAGGAACTTCGCCATACGTTGCAGTTACTGCGGCATGTTGCTATTTTATATTATATTAACACTACTGCTGACTTTGCTTGTCCACCATTTCGTCTGTTTATTTTATGACTTTTCATATTTCTACAAAGAACTCATTTTTGGCATCTAACTCATCATTGTCATAATTTTTTGTGGGCTTAGGCGCTTACAAAGGAGTATATATATATATACATATATGAGGATGCATATATTAGGTGTATACACAACAATAACAACATATCACATTTGCAATTCTCTACGAATCTTCCATTATTTGCACTACTTATTTGGCAGTTACTCTGAACATTTTCTCCCACTTTCTTGCAGTGTCACTTTGGGCGTTGATTTTCAACTTAAATAAAGGCGAGCGGACCAAAAGGGATTTTCTGACTTAGTGTAAATGACGGTGAGTACAAAACAACGACTTACTTATGTGTGTGTGCATGTATTTACAGCAAAAAATAATCATGTTTTTGTGTACCACTGCAAAGGCACAGCAGGATATTGTATGTGTGTATGTGTTGTTGTATAACTGGTGCTAGGATTTGGAGTACCAGGTAGTAAAAGGACTTTTGGGAATTGCAAAAAGTCAGTGCGAGAAAATTGAAAAAAAAAAGAAAAAAATCAAAAGTGAGTAGCCTAGAAAGGCGATGTTGGGACAAATGTAAATGCTTAGCAAAAATTTTGAGAAAAAGTGCCACAGAGAATAAAGATTACAGCTGATTGTAGCGCAAAGATTAGACGGCTTTGTGTGGCGTGTTTTCTTTTAGACTTTTGTTGATTGCTTTGTTACTTGAACCGGTTGTGCTTCTGTGTTTAAGTAGAAAATTTTTAAATTTATATGACAATACCATATATATATTGAAATTTTCAGAATAATTCCGTATTATGAATTAAAAATACCCAAAATAAATGCTTTTTCAAGCATATTTCTAGCCCTGTATAAAATTTAATATTTGAAAACGTAAATGGGCAACCAAATTTAGTTGATAATCTTAATATCTGAAACTATGAAAATCTAAATTTTTCAATTGCAAACTACATTTGTATTAAACATGTTTTAAGGTTAGTAATGTATGCCAAATGAACTCGATTCTAACAACGATTTCCATTATAGAGTTTAACCATAAATACTAGTTTATTGCAAATTTTGGAGAATTTTCCAATTATAGTATTTCAAACAAAAAATCGAGTTTATTGATAATTTTAGTGTTTAACCGAAAACTCGAGTTTATTAAAAATCTTGTTTAACCACAAAATTAAATTTATTGATTATTTTAGTGTTTGTTAAAAAATTTGGTGTTTAACAAAAAATTGAGATTATACACTATTTTCGAGTTTAACTAAAAAATCGAGTTTATGCCAGAAAAAAATTGCGTTTATTGATAATTTTAGTGTTTAACCACAAACTCGAGTTTATTGAATATTTTGATGTTTAACAACAAAATGGAGTTTATTGACAATTTTAGGCTTAATCACAAGCTCGAGTTTATTTTTTCAGCAAAATATTGACTTTATTTATAACTTTAGTGTTTAACCTCAAAAGAGAGATTACAGAAAAGTGTAGTATTTAACCACAAAGTCGAATTTATTGACAATTTTTTGGTCATTTAGTCTTTAATTAACCTGATATTTGTCATAAAATGTTAAGTTAAAGTCGGAGTTTCTTCTGCTCTTTCATAAAAACAATTGGATATTGCGCACAAACACTAAAGCTTAAATTGCAGTTTATGGCTTAGATTAATGTGACAAAAGTGCCAGCTCGGTGTTGAAAAACGGGTAACTTTAATGGTTTCAAAAATACAGCATAATTTACAAAAAATTTAAAAAGTATAAAATTCTTAAACTCTCTAACTCTTAAGTAGCAAGTCGCTTAGTTAATACCAGAACAGTGTTCGATTCGCCACTAGTCAAGTTGTTGCAGTTTTCGTACAAAAAAAAAAAAAAAAAAAAATGCATAATATTATTATACCAATTATATCACAAGTGCTTTATTGCTGTCTTCAACAATAGAAGGCAAATTTTCCATTTCTATTAATTCAAATTTTTTCAAGATAAGCGCAGCAAAGAAAAGTAGTACTCATTAAAAAGATAGTGAAGCCCACTTTTCAATAGTAAAATACTACTAATTACTATTCGTATATTAATCAGGAAGAGAGTAAAACTGAAAGTAAATATTTTTTAAGTAGATGTGGTCCCTTTATAACGTCATAACCCGACTTTTCATTAAACAAGGCAAAAGGCCACATGCTTTCATAACAGACATTTCCACTTGAGAGACAAAAGAAGCCAGCAGACAACAAGTACTGAATATCCTGAAAATAGTTAAATGAGAATTGAGAGAAGGGAAAAGGGTGTCCGACTAGTAATTCATCAAAGGATAGTGCAAACAAAGCAAAGTCTGGCAGCGTGGTGTGAAAGGGAAGCAGACTGTCAATAGTAGCAGTACATATTTACCTAACTACATATACATATAGTACATATATGTATGTAAATATGTAGTAAATATGTAGTATGAATATCGAACTAGTTAAGCAGTCGAGCGTATAGCCAGGAAAATAGCAAAATAATGAGCGCACAATAGCAAGGATCCTGCATATTTGTAGCACAACGCTCGTACCAGTTGACGCACACATACACATATGTATATACTATAT